GAAGTTCTGGACCTTGGGTCCCCCGCCCTGGCAGCACCGGGTCCAACTGGAGCGAACATGCCCCGAAAAATACCGGTGGATGGTTGCGAAACCCACAAACCGCACCACCTTGAAACCATGGTTGACACTACTGTTGGTGGGCATTTTTACGAGGGAATCATCAGACACCACAGTTTCTGACTGGTGCTGCGGTTTATGGATTTCGCAACCATCCGCAGCATCAGCTCCACGGTTGGGGCAGCGGAACCGCGAAAAACATCGCCAGGGCAAGGGGAAAGGCCTCCGGGGCTTTGAGCAGAAGGTGAAGGTCTGGATCGGCGGCCTCCCTGCAGATAACTGCAGCATCGAGCTGCCGCTTGGCCAAATTGGCGCCCCCCGACTGGCCTCCAGATGTGACCCAAAAGAAAGATCCTCCGTAGGATCCCTTGGAGAGGCTTCATGCTAGGGTTTTAGGGGTGAACTATCTTTTGTAAAAGGGGCAGTGAAACGGCTTATCCACAAAATTGTGGAAGTGAAGCCACGATTTCGCAATTTGTTACACGTAAAAGGTGTTGAGATTGCCTTGAGACTACTTGTGCTGTTGTGCTCACTTGGCGTCCACATGGCCCATGGTCCAATAGGAAAAAGTCGAATGAGGCTGCACATTGGAAAATACATATGTGTATAAAGCCGTGCATGTGTATATATATATATATATATGCATATTATGTATTGAGCGACTGCCTTCATTTACAGAAGGCCACATAAAGGGCCAGGTGGAAACACGCTTGGGATAACACACTGAATTACAAGCAAAACGAGGTAGGAACACCCCCAAAACGAGGTAGGGCCATGACATATAGCCGGTTGAGCTCACAAACGCATGCGGCATTGTGAAGCGATGTCAATGAGTCCCAACTGGTGCAGGGTTGGAAAGCAAGGTGGGAGCACCCGACCATTCAACCATGTAGCAAATACCTGCCGTAGCTCATATGTATATGATATATACATATATAGCTATAATTTATGTAAACATGCCGGTGTTGTTTTTAGCGGGTTCCGCCCTTTCCGACTGGTTTTTGGTTTGCTCTTGCTGTTTCCTTTATTAAGCATGACAGGGTGAATCTACAGCCCCTTCCCCATGCCCACAAGCCGAAGTGCTTGAAGTTCTCTCAGGAACAAGAAGCTGAAGGAGCACATGTGCCAAGCGGGCGGCACATGCGTCTACGCAGAGGCCGGAGTCTCGGGCGACGGTTGAGCGCGCGGCTGGGCACAGCAGAGCGACCTCACAAGGGAAGCTTACTGATGAAGGTTTCTTACTTGGGAAGCCCTGGCAAGTGTGACTCACAGCCATTTTCCGAGAGTGTGTTGGCTACCAGGCTTTGTTGCATAATTACTGATCATGGCAATTCGAGGAGCAACGGGGGCTCAGGCCTCGGGCATTTGCAATCCAATGCATGCTGACAAGACAGTTGGATAAAAATAGGTAAACAATTTCACATTCACACGCGCACACACACACACACATTCACACACGAGTTTTCATGTGGATTGCTGGATTGGCATCGCATGCCAGAAACTGTTGTTTTGGGGAAAGTTGCAAATAAGGATTGGACTTCTGTTTTTTGGATTTGCAGATGGGGACAGCTGTCCGAAATTGCTGGATCTGCCGTTGGCCTGGTAAGTCTTAGCAAGCCGATGCAACAAACAGACATATGAGTGCAAAGTTGTTGGCTTGCACCAATACAGCTTGGGCTTTTATGAACCTAGTATGGTGCATCAATTGAGGAATAGTATAGGTCATGTAGTACTTATGAGTTTAGTACAAGCATTAGTTTGAGCATTGCTGCTTCGAGTGTGGTGTAGTGGTTGACGAGTGCATTCTTAGTCCAGTAAAAGTTGAGCATGACTTCAGCAGGAGTTCTTATCACATTTGCTTCAGACTCGATATAGCATCAGTTCAATACTGGTTTGGTCTTGGATTGGCATGGCGGATTCAGGCATAGAGAGCAAAACTGCTTCTCTTGCACCATGCAGCCTCAGCTCCGGTACGTGCTTTTATATTGGTGTAGTGGGTTAGCATCGATTGAGTAATAGTATTGACCATCCCATCTAGTTTGCATGAGTCTAGTAGCAGCATAGTTTGAGCATTGCTGTTTCTAATGTGGAATCGGTTTTGTAAATCATGTTTACATTCCTAGTCTAGTAACAGTTGGGTATTACTTGGGCAGGCATTCTTAGTAGCACTTTTGCTTCAGACTACGTATAGCATCAGTGCAATACTAGTTGCGTGTTTGCTTAGGGTCTTTGATTCAAGCATATCAGAGTGCCATGCAGCCTCCACCCCGGCACGGGCTTTTATGACCTTAGCATCGGCGTAGTAGTACTTTAGTAGTATCCATTGAGAAATGGTAGTGGTCTTATAGCATGTATGAGTTTTGTAGCAGTATGAGTTTGTGCATTGTTGCTTCTAGTTTGGACGGTTTTGTATTGTGTCATGTGTGTATTTCTGGTCAAGTAGCGGTTGAGGTAACAGTTGGGCAGCAGTTCTGTAGTAGCACGATTGCTTCGGACTAGTTTGGTGTTGGCGTGGCATCGCCGATTCAGGCGCTAAGCTGCTTTTTGCACCAACTCCGGCACGGGATTTTATGACTTCAGTTTTTGCTTAAAGTAAACCAAGTTTTAATTTGGGGAGTTTACACCTGACTTTTACCGGAGGAAAGTCAAACAAGAAAAACTGCATGATAAGTACTTGATGAATGGACTTGTGCATTTTCTTGCTTTACTGGCCATACGAAGCGGACCATCTAGGCGTAGGATCTTCCTGAGGGCCCAATATGCAAAGCCAACACAAAACTAATGTTGAGCTGATGCTGTAATTAACAAGTTTAAAGCAAACGTTTTACTAAGAACTTCCGCCCAAGTATTTCTCAACCAGACTAGGAATACACACATAAACCAATACAAAACCAATTCCAAGCTAGAAGCAGCACTGCTCAAACTCATACTGCTACTAAACTCAGAAGTGCTACATGACGAACTACAGTACTACTACACAGCTTACCTGCTTGCATTTCCTCGGAAACAGAAAGCACGTAAGAAAGTAGAACTATGGGACCCATGACAAGGAACACCTGAGCTTTCGAAAGTATGCACTCTGTGTTTATTTCAGGCAGTCGTACTGTTCAACCTTTCGCCAGTAGAGTAAAACACAAAGCTGCTTCCAAAAGTAAAACAATCGTGTTACTTTTACTTTTATATTGTTCCTGAATAAAAGTAAGAGTGAACAAGCAAACTTCTGGCCTTGTGAAGCTTGAAAAGGAAACTGCCTGAATTATTGCAATGTTTACTTTTGGCAGGTTTACCATTTTTTTTACAGATGCACACGCGGAAACACTTCTTCATGTTCACATATCGAATAGTTCTGCATCGCCAGGTCGGCACACTTGAATAGGTACATGAGAATGCGGATCCCCATCTTGTCCACATCGATGCTCAGACGCTTGAGGCTCATGTCCTAGCCCTTTGGCTTACTTCCTGAGTTCCTGAACTTTATACTTTCTGAAAAAACACAATGTTAGTGGTAAATGAACAGTTTGAACTTTTTTTGGGCTATCCACTCGGGAAGTGAGTTGGCTATTGACCCATGCCTTTTGCAGGTCGGGAAGAGCGGGAACGCCGGTGCAGCCTTCAAGACCGAGGAAGAAGCGCAGGTGGGCGTGCATTGCTGTGCATTGGGTGCGGTTTTCATGCAACTTGCTGAGATTATCAGGGTGCAGGAGACTCCCTCAATTTGCGGATTTCAGGTAATAAGTCCGTCCATATAAGCGGGATGCTGTTTTGCATGGCACCATTTCCTTGGCCTGGAGCTGCTCTCTGATGCGCCCTTCGCATAGTATCTTCAAAGAACAAACTGCTTCAGGGGCAGACCTGTTCAGCGCTGACTGTAAAGGCCAAGTCTAGACTTGGCTTTTCACGCTTTGCCTGTTGCAGTCAAGCTATTGGTTTGGGGGTGGGAGTGGCAGGTGTTTTCATCACTGGCCCGGGGGCACCCAAATACTCGCTTTCTGGGTACATGACTCGCCCAAATAGCCAACCGAGCCTTGCAGAGCGGGTGAATGGCTGACAGGCCGCCATCACCGCATTGAACGGCTCCGTCTTCGAGGGCGTCCCCATCGAGGCGAGTTCGCCGCATTAGGCTGCGAGCGGGCGCTTCCTAGAACTGAGTTGGTTTCTTTGGGATCGCCTAAAGGGGATGGACACCCCCACGTATGCGGTGCAGGCACAAGGGTTTTTGCATGGGTTGGACACAGTTGGGTTTTTGTGGGCATCCTTCGGAGAAGCCACAACAGTGGGTGCCTTTCGAAAGAGAGCTCATGGCTCATGGGTGAAGGCCCAAGCGCGTGTGTAAGGCCTGAGCGGGGCCTGAGAAAGTCGAGCAACCCGCCGGAGCTTGGAAGGAACATACCTTTGCACATGTTCTGGCAGGCGGTTACCCAAGCTGGCTCCAACCCAAACTGCATTGAGAACCCCCCCCCGCCCTTGGTTTAGTTTGGAGGTCCCTTGCGTTTGAGCGGCACAGCTTGGCTGAGGTAAAAAGTGGGCCTGTTTGTACCGCGCGCGGAGGTCTATGTGTGTGTGTGTGTAGTTTGCGTTTGTGGCTGCCCTCTTTCTCCCATTTGGTTCCTCGACTCAACTGCCGGCCCTCACGCTCAGTTGGTGCGTTGCGTTGCTCAACATCCGGGTGAGGTGGACGTTTGGACCAAGAAGTCGACTGCAGAGCCAACTGCATAGCCGGGAGCTGAGCATTGCGCTTGGGACATTCAGCTCGCTAAGCCAGCCGGCCACACTCCCCCGCACATCAAGGAGAAAGCAATTATGTCGAGGCAACACCTGCAAACATGTCAAAGATTTTGAGCACTCCTCAAGCCAATGTATGCGTATCAAGTGTCCTCCGGCTTCAGCAGTTTTGTCAGGCATGCATTTCATTTCGCGATTGCCAACACGCGGCATTTACTCGAATCCGTACTCCGGGAGCAGACCACAACTGCAACATGCTGCCTGAGACATCAAGTTGGCAATCCTATGCGGGTGCGTGTCTTGGTGAGCAATCTTTGCCACTGCTTCACCGACCCGAAGGCCGGCAGGCCACCCCTGCCATTGAACTCCTCCCAGCCCAAGCAGACCTCACCGCGCTCCATCCGGTGGGCTCTCCGTGAGCCCAGCGGGCCGCGGGCTTGAAGGCCTCCCTGGGCACAAAAAGCTTGGCCGGCCAGAGCTGGGCATTGGGCACGGTTCTCTGGTGGGCTGACTGCCAGGCATTGACCATTTTGCGGTCAGAGTCGGACACTGCGATCTTCTCCACCTTTCTTTCACGGAAGGAAAGTTTGGAGAGGGTGTCTGATATAAATTAGCCAGGACACTCGGCACTGAGCAATCTACTAAGTTCTAGGTCATAGTATGGCACTCCCACTTCAGCATGTTTCGGACCTTTTCGAGCCCAAGCGTTTGCAACCTAAGGTTCCCTAAAAAGAGGATCTTGCGAGGATCAGCCGGCGGATTGCAACAAGGGGAACACACAAGGGGGCTGTTGTTGTAGAGAAGCCCAAGCCAAAGTGTGATTTTTCCGCCTTAGCTTTCCCGTTAAAGACAGGAGCATCTGGAGCCTGAGACTTGTTTGTGGCTGTATGGGTATCCGGTACCCATCTTGCCGTCCTAGAATAGTGTTTTATGTGCGAAGCTTGCGCCCCAACTGTTCGTACATGTCGGTACCCATTCAAAGGGGTTATGCACTTGAGGGGAAGAAATGGGGTAGGAGAGAGCGTGTGAGAGACACGGGCTGGGAGAGAAGGGGGCAATTTTGACAGGGTCAGGGCCATTTGAGGGGCATTTGAGCGCCATTGGAAAGTGAAAACCCGCAAAAGCCACCCCCCTTCTTGGCCAACAACCACCTGCTGCTCCGGCACGCGTGCTTCATGTATTCAATCCAACCATTCGCCCCCTTCTTCTTGCAATCCCAGGCTGCAGCCAAAATTGTGGCACTTATCCGCATCAGAGACGTTTTAGCGGTCTTATGAATCTTGTGTGGCTTTTGATGTGTGCAGCCGCTCTGTGCTGTGGCCGCACTGGCCATGAGGGGAGAAATGGTCCGCATGGCCTGCCTGAGGTTCCATCATATCACCGGCCTGAGGGGTGGCCAACGGTCGAATCTGTCTCAGTGGCAAAATCTGAGCGCCGCGCCTACCGCTGCTCGCTGCCGGGCGCCTGTTGGGGGAGTCTTTTGGGCACGCCTTCGGATTCACATTGGCCTTGCTGAGATTGATCGCAGGGTGGCCTTATCTTGAGCAAAGACAACGCATGCATACAACTGCTGCGAACCCATGTCCACCCAAGTTTGTTTACTTCAAAGTGCGCGCAGGCAGGACTGATTCATATTCACATGTTTGGCACCATGCTGCAACTCAGCAATACTCAAAGCAAGCGCATGCCCCCAAAAGTGCAATGGTCCTTTCCCAACCACATCTCTCAGTCAGTTCTCCCAAATGCCAAGCTGCCAAACCTGAGCCCTCCCCGCAGACACTGGAGGTCCCCTGGCAACGAGACCTGGGAGTCGACGCCTCGCTGCCTCGCTCGACGCCGGCAGGTCACCAGGACCTTCTGGCAGATCTCGGTGAATTTCAAGCGGCCGGCGCCCCAGAGCGTCCGAGAAGCCCGAAGTCTGGAGCCCTTTGAAAAGAAGCAGCCCCCTCTTCGGTGCGTTGTTTTTTTTTAAGGAAAACCAAGAGGAGAACGGCAAATCTTGCGGGGGTGTCCTGAAAAACGGCACGTGAACACACATATAGATTTACAGTTTTATTTTTCTAAAAATAATTCCTGTGTGAATCAAGAAGTGCAGGGGTAGGGATGGTGGTTGTTAACATGGACACTGAGGAGAGGAACAGCGTAATGTGCCGGCAACTCATTGCAAATACCTCTCAAGCAGGATTTCCTGCTTCAGGATGACAAAGTTTGTTTGAAGTTTAAGGAATCGATAGATCACTAGAAACGCGCATTTGGCAGGAAGCGGCAAGCGCGGAAAAGCTGAGTTTTGGCGTATGTGATTATACAATCAACTCTATTGAGCAGATATTTGTGTATACCCACATTTCCTCATGGTGTTATTTTGGCCCCAGATCACCCACCAAAGGTAGAGCTACTTTCTTGAGAGAATGTGAAGCTTGATGCAAGCAGGTGCACTGTGACAGGGCAGAGGCGGTCCGATGCAACAGGTCTTCAGGTCACATGACCTTGCTCCCAACAGCCAGTCAGTTGCACTTGCTCAAGCTGCCACGTGCGTTCGAATGCTAACACATCATGACTGCAGAAAATGCATGCTGAACGACATGCGCGCGCACACACACACACATGCTTAACGAGTTGCGAGTTACAACGGTGTTCGTTTCACGGTTGGGACCGGTACTGTATTCGCCAATCTGCTGCTACGTCGGTTTCGCTCACTTGAACAAGAGGGGTCGCAAAAAGATCCTTCCGTGCTGACCGCCCAGGCAGCGCGTGAGAGAGACCCGCCGACGTTTGGCAGCCGCGCCCCCGGATTGGGCTGTGTTGGTGTTCCGTCCAAGACCGGGCCGGCATCACGGGGTCCGACTTGAGATGTCCCCTGGGTTGCACCACCAATCACTGGCAGGGCCGTTGAGTTCTTTGATGCAGAGTTGACCCAGGGCTACCTTGCAAATGGGGGCATGACTGTTGGAAACCGCCCGTGACGCAGCATGGCTCGTGTGGGGATGCCAAGCGTTGACCAGGTGCCTCTTTGCGCGATGCCTTAGCCGCGGCGCGAACCGCGTCTTCCGCATGTGGAGTAAAGGATGGGACAACCGCGGGGTGTCGGCGCCAGTGGGCTCCAATCCCTTCGCCCCGGGCGGCGCGGCCCCGGGCGGCCCGGGCGGCGGCGGAGGTCGGGGGCCGGATGAAGCGGCCACAGGGCCCATGCTGGGCAGAGGCTCTGAGTTGCAGAAGGTGTACTACATGCCCCACAACATGGGCCACAACGATGGCGTCAACTGCATCTCAGCCGTGATTTCAAAGTTGCTGATGAAACAGCTTTCTTGCGCGCTAAAAGCCCAGGCCCCAACAGTCAGGGGTTGCTGGGGAGGGAGGGGGTTGGAGAGAGAGCGAGAGAGAGACCGTCAGTGTGGCATGCTTACCCTTGAGACAGAGGCATGGTTATGGCGGAGAACAAGATCTTCTCTGGGGGTCGCGATGAGAACCTTTTCGTCTGGCGTGCGGAGAAGAATGCTTCTGGGGAGCTTCAATTGGTGCAGGATTGCCCCTCAGTGCACTTGGGTTCCAGCGTCACCTCCCTGTGCTGCTTGGCCAAGGCGTTGGAGCCACAGGTCTAGGGTTTGATTGGGAAGTCCGGGCATGATTTGTTGATCTGCCAGGTTTGTTCGGGTAAGTTTTGTCCTTTGCCCAAATTTGTTGCGCTGTTTTTTGGTTCTGCTTGAACGGTGTTCAACACCATGGTAAGATAATGCGTTAGGTTTCTAGACTGTATATTCTTGCGACTGGACGCAGACAAATATTCGAATTATTGGCAGGGTGCGGCTTTCAAACTTCAAGCAAAAGCAAGCAGCAGCCTAGGACAGCCACCTTGCCACCTTTGGTATCATAGTGAGTTTGGTAGCAAGTCTGTACCAGATACTTGCCTAGCGAAATAGACCGGATCCTCTACAACTCGACGTGTTAAGTATGTTGAAATTGAGGTCAAAAGGGTTCCTGCTTTCCGCCTGCAACATACGTCATGTCTTTCAGCGCTTCTGTCGAGTTCAAGGTAATGAAGCACGGCATTCGAAGAAAGCATGACTAAATGTCACATCCATATCCAGTGCGGGACACTCACCGTTTCACAACATATTTTGAACCTGAACACCTTTCTGGTGCTCCTCCCTGAAAGGTCCCAGCTTGCGAGCAGTCCAAACACATTGGACAAGGAACGTTGCATGGCCACAGGTCACCGGACCTTTTGCTGAAGATTTTGGGCCAGTTGGCCTTCGACAGAGCCTGCTGAAATGTCGCTTGCAGAGTGTATCTCCCTGAAGGTTCTTCCTCTTGTGGCTCTCCTCCGATCATCTCCCACAACAAACCCTGGCCAGATCAGCCGCCGTGCCTGTAGCAACCGCTTGTACATGCGACACCCGTGACCCATGGACCCACCATGACCCAAATTGCTCAAGCACTCACGCCGGGTAACCCTGCCCGTGTGTTCCAGACGGCTTAGCCAAACGAAATAAGACACTTACATCTGAGGGCGGGACCCTCTCTGGTTGAGTCTGGAGCCTGCGCACCAGTCCTGGGTGGGGGATAGGACATGTTTTAGGAAGCTGAAGCTGGAGTCGTTTCATGAGGCTGGTTACTGCTAGGAAAAGTCCAGGTACCAGTCCAGGCAAGTGACTGGCCCGGATACCCCACTCAAACATCAGGGGCCTTGCAAGGCCGATGAAAGTTTTGTAGAATTGGCAAAGCAATCACTCAATTGACTCAATTGCATGATTTACTTTTTGATCACTTTTGGATCGCAAATACTATATTGCAAAAAAATACTGCGGCCCCTGCAGCGCAGATACTTTTGTTGACTTTGATTTACTTCTTGGATCGCTTGGCAGGCTTTGACTGGCTCAAGGGTGCCCTTGCATCCCAGGAAGTGGTACATCATCGAGTGGGGTTGGCCAGCCATGTTTTGCCTTTTGAAACCCTGGTTCAAATGGGAGGGGAGCAGGAAATTAAATCAGGGTTGCGAAACGCCTGATGTAACTTGGTGGCTCCCAGCCATCCCTTCAGCTTTTCTGATATTTTCCGTGTTTTTCGCGCGGGATTTGTCCATGTTACCCCAACAAGTGCGTCTCACCTTTCTGGGCTCCGACACCGGGGACGCTTCGCTTCGGTCCTTTTTTTCCCGCTCGAGAGGGCGTCCGGTTGCTTCCGGTGGTTTCGAGGCTACGAGGCCGCCTCCACGTGGCTCTTCTGCGGGCTTTGGAGCGGCGAGATCCGGGCCTTCTGCAAGCAGCCGGTCAAGGAGGAGCGGCTCACGGGCCACCGCCGCTCCGCGCCTCGGCGTCCTTTTGGGGGCGGGCGTGCGAGCAAGTTTGGGCGTACGCGAGAGACGCGAGGGGAGTGAGTTGGAAGCAGGAAAAGGTCTTTTGGCCACCTGTGGAAAAAGGTTCCTGTCCCTTCGTAGAGGATTCCTTTTTGAGGGGGTCGCCCATTTTGTCACAAAGGGTGGCAAAAAGACGCCCCTGTTTGGAAGGACCCGCAGAAAATCATAATCCAACTGGTGGTTCCCATTGTTCGGTGGGATCCTCAGGTTCATTCCCACATTCCCGAGTGAGCACCAGCAAGACAAGGGGCAGGGGCACATGGGAGACAGGGGTGTGAGGGGGGAGTCCTTTGTATGAGAGGGATATTGCACATATCACTGGTACCCCGAAATGCTGATGGAACTATATAAATCCAATATAGAGTCATGCTTCCTTTTGGTTTGGATGATTTGGAGCAAAGTTGAGAGTGGGCAGCAGAGGAACACAGGAGAGTCATGTTTATTATTGAAATGTCGTTTTGTAGAGGACTTGATCAGATGGGGCATGAGTGGCATTTGGGGCGTGGGCATTTCAGACGCGGAAGCCAGATTGTACAGGACAATGGAAACCTGCAAAAGACTAAAAGCTTCTTCCAGACAGACACACGGACACGTGCACATCATAGACTCGTAAGTGTGGCACATGAGCGCAGACAAGCCGTGAAGTCAATGTGCCAATGCAGGTGGGCGGGCAAAGCGGAAACTGCAGCCCGCAACACAATCCCAAGCAAACAAGAATGCATGGACTGGACCACTGTTTGTTTCATGTTGATTCCCTTCGAGCTGGGTCCGAAAAATGCCCAAGCGGCGAAACCCCAAAGAGGAGTGCCCAAAACGGCTATGTCGCCGTGTCTTTTGCTTTGGCCCGTTTGCGACCCCGTCAAAGGGCAAAACTCGACTTGCGCGCCTTTTGGTCTTTAAAAGGGAGACGTGAAACGCCGCTGTCAGGTGACCTGCCTCCAGGTGCACAGCTCAGTGCTGATTTCCGGCTCCAATGAGGGCACGGTGCGCCTGTGGACCGCGGCCAATGGATCCTTCCAGTGCCATGGGCAGCCGCTGACCAATCCTTCAGGCCGGGCTCCAGGTGCTTTGGGCAAGCGAGACTAGTGGTCATAGCCAGGGGCAGGGAATCGCCATGTCCAGGACGAGAAGGCCGGAATGGTTGACAAGCTGTCAAAACACAACTAACAGTTGTGTCTTTTGTGTGTGTGTGTATTGTTGTGTTTGAGGCAGTGTTTGTGTGTGTGTGTTGTGTCAGGCCAGTGTAGCATGTTATGTGCGTTTCGGTGTCCAGGGGCGTAGGTCGTAGCGCTCTTGGGTAGAGTTTCCCTTTGAATTCACGAGTTGACGGATGGAGTGGACGAGCGGACTTATTGGCGGGTGGGGATTAGAGACCCAAATGCAATCGCGGCCAATGTACAGTAAGTTCAACACGCCCTGCAGGCCATTGCAAGAGAGATCCGGCTTATGACCAGGGATGCAAAGAGGTTTTCTACCGTTGTGCATTCCAGTGACCGGTGATTAAAGGATCACAGCTTTGGCTGCCGATCCCCAACAAGAGAAAGCAGCACCACTGCTTGCAACTCTTGACCACCCGTGAGTCCAGTCTTCAAACTGTTCGCCCGCCTACTTGTCCCTCCACACATCAGCCGTCCACTGTCCGTCTAGCGGTCCATTTTTGCCCTCGGAAAGGCATAGCAAGACCACGTTTACAGGTTCTAGAGCCTGCTACTCTAGCTGGCACGTTGCTTGCGCACCTTTATGCGCGTCCTGATGTGCAGCTTCGTTACCCTGAATTCATTTTGGACTTCGTGGTCAGCCCCCTTGCCTTGACTGGAAGGCCCCAGATAGCCGCCTCAAATATAGGCGTTGTAAGCGTTTTTCTGGGCCATTCGCCGTCTTGCCTGTTCTTCCCTGATGTTGTGCACCGTATGTTGTCCAGAATGGGCCGCCCCAGCAGTTCACCAGCTTTATTATCTTGCATTTCTGGGCGTTCGTGGGACAGGCTTGGGCATTGCCTGCCACGCTTGCGGGCCTTCAATGCCCACTGAACACATGTGAGGATCTCCGTTTTCAGTGCAAACCTTGCCGGCTCTTGAAGGATGCTGCTTGCTTTGGTACCCTGCCATGTTTCTTCACTCCGATGATTTGCGGGCATCCTTTTTCTCTTGGTTGGGGGCCTTCAATGCTTGACATGTGAGGGTCTCCGTTTCCATGTTCGGTGCAAATCTTGCCGGCGCGGGTCTTGCGGTTCCTCGCGCAGGCCCGGTGACCTGCCTCCGAGTCTTCAATGGGGCGCTCTGGGTGGGCGGGCAGACGGGCATCAGCTGCTTCGACCTGGGCTCGCTGCAGGCACGGGGCACCATCGCCTCCCAGCAGCAGGTCACAGGAGCGGGCGGGGTGGCTGAGGGCTGAGCGCGGCTGCGAGGTTTGCGTCCGGCTTGCAGGATGCAACCCTTGAGACGTTGCCGATTCTCCGAGCAAACCAAGCAATGTTTGGTAAAGTACCCAACTAATCTTGGGGAGTCAGACCAGGGCTTCATACATGTAAGCATTCAGACTTTGGAACCAGTGGGAATATGAATTATTGTGATTGGCGAATTGTCGCTGGGCAAGAGGCTAAGATGCTGTGATCAGTAGTAGTACCCAAATGGGCAATGCGGTGTCTCCATTTGTCCGTCCACTTGATGGGAGCTAGAAGCTCGGTAGAGGCTCGGTTCCTTTGCCATGTCGACCGACTGACCTGCTACCGGCCAACCAATTCACCGGCCGACAAGCTGACTGACCTTTGAAGCCAAGTGCATACCAGGCAATTCATTGCGACTTTACCGAAGAGGCTTCCTGTCATAGGGAATCTGCAGAATCCTTGTTTGCATCGGGACTTTGTCAACTCAGCGCATGGCGCAATGGTATACGTAGCATGCGCAGAAATGCTATGCAAACTTAGGTACTTGAGTTACTTCAGTGGAGACTGCATGCACCCATTTTACAGCTCAACGTGGTGGTAGGTGTTGTCAGGTATGGATGTAACCTTGTGATGCAAAGTCCCAAGGGCTTCCGCAATGCGAGACATGCGTGTCGTTGAATGTGAGGTAGGCGCGCATGCCCAACACAAGTTCAACTGTAATGATATCATGGTGTGGTGCAATGCACTGTGGTGAAGCTATTGTAGGGATGTTCATACGTCCTGTGTATGTACACCTTGTATGTGTGTTCGGCACATTTGTGAATGTATGCAAGTTGGCATGTGTGTATGTACGGATTTCTATGCAGGGCAAGCGTACATTCGTGTGTAATGACGAGTGCGTATCTGTATGCAATTAGTCTGCAAATGGATAATGTCGCGTTCTGAGTTGGAGTGAACAGGTCTGATTCGCGTAGGTGTTCCTACACGCATGCAAGTCTACATGCGTGTGTGTGTGTGTGTGTGCAATGCACTTTTGTGCTGTGTGTCGCAATGCAAAGAAGTGGATTTCATTATATTCGAGGGTCAATTCGTTTTATTCGGGGGTTGTGTTGGGGAATTTAATGGGCCCATTCTTGCAGTTTGAGGTCACAGCCATGCCGCCCCATGTAGCCTGTTGGCTTGCAGTAAAGCACATGGAACTGGCAAATGCGCGCTTGAAAATGGAGAAAATGATTGAGGTACTTGTCGCTTATATGGCGTTTCTCCAGCCCGTGCGGCTAGGTCGAGCAAGTTTGGGCACTTAAGGTTGCTTCGGCCCCTGGCGCCTCAACCGGCGAATTACTGCTGCCCAACCAGGCTCTGTGAAGGATATCATCTTCACACTGTCAACCCTGCAGTCGTCTAGCCACACCATTGCAGTTGAAGATGCTTTTCAAAAACCGCCCACGAGCCAGTCTTTAAGATTTATGCTAATTCAAGACGCCAACTGCCTGCAGCTGAGAAAAACAACGGGGTCAAGCAACTTGATTTACACTTAGCAGTATTTGCAAGCATTGCTTGCGCCAACTTCTTCCTGCAACACGCTGAGATCTAAGGCACAGTGAGAATGGGAAGGGTTTTATTCGGGTTCAAAAGCTTTTGCTGTGGGGCGAGTGCCGATGTGATAGGGGCAACTGCTTCAACAAGATTGCTGCAAAGCCAGGCCTACAAGCAGAACTGAACTCCTTCCTGAAAATGTTCTAGGATATAAAACCTGCTCAAGACTTTCACGAAGGAACCTTAGCTTTGATCTTTCCCGCGCAAAAAATACACATAATCCCTTGAGGCACCCCGACCCCTCCCTGAAATCCACAAGTTCGTGCGGGAAGTCACCATTGCCAAGCTCTAGACCAGCGTTTCCAATGCATTGGGGCGGTTCCTTTGATTGAAGGGTTAGGACCATGTTTCAAACATGTTGGCCTGTGAAACTCCACCCCCCGCGGCCCCCCAAGGTTCACAAAAGGAAGCCGGTGAAGCACATAAAGCTCGACATATTCTTCATGAGTCTGTATGCTTCCCAACAAGTGTGTTGTCCAATGCAGCAAGAATCAGGCAAAACACTAAGGTTCCAAAAGCTGCCCGATCTCGCAAACCGACACCAGAGGTGGTGAATGTGGCGAAACAGTGTGGATAATGGAAAGTGGATATGAGTGTCATGGGTTGTCACTGCCTAATCTACCGCTTCCGCCCCCGCCCCCCCGAGTTGCCGAAGATTTAGAGGTTTCAATAGAGAACCTGGATAACGATGAGGAGGTGAAATTCCCTTGAAACACTGACTGGGCCACTCGAACTTGTGGCTCAAGGCTCAAGTAGAACCAAATTTTGGGTGCAATTTCAAGACCCTTCGCACCAGAAGCCTGCCACGGGGAAACCTGAAAATGCGGCATTCTCAGTGTCCACGCAAAGTGAGGCTGCTTGGCTGCTTTGCTTTGGCTGGGCCTCTTCATGATGCGCGGGTTATAGGTGAAGCAAAGGTACTCCCCATTGTTCACACGCTTCACGAGCGAGTGGAAACACCTCCTACAATTGTGCCAAGCTTTCCTACTACAAACAGGTTTGTGGGAACTTAGAAAGTGTTGCGATGGTCACTCTGCAGCCAAACGCAGGCCATGAGGCCATTGGACTATCCCTTGCTCCCCTATGCGTTTGCAGGGTTTCTTGGCTATTGCAACAATGCTTGCGTATGATAGCGCTGCGGAGATGCAGCCCAGCTTTGGACATGCTGCGATTTTCTCACCCGCAGCACTGTGAGGGTTTCGTGCTTTTACTACGCTGTGTTTGCGCCGCCGCCTCCTCTTCCGTCCTCGACGCCCTCATTCACTCAGTCTCACCCGCCCACCTATGCTGAGCCACTCGTTCTTTCTGAATCGCCCTCACTCACTCATCGTAACTTCTCACCTACCCATTCGCACTCATTGGCTCTCAGTCGCTCATTCTCAACTAGTCTCACTCTTACATTCCCGCTCCCTCATTCTCGCTCGCTCTTTTTCACTTGACTCACTCATTCTTACTTTGCATTCTTACTCACTCAATCTCATGCGTCTCACTCTTGCTCATTTCCGCTCACTCAGTCTGACTCACTCATGAGTGACGCTCACTCCTTTTCACTCATTCTCCCTCGTTCTCACTCCTTCTCACTCATTCTCACTCCTTCTCCTCCACATCACGCATCACCTCCCGTGCCTTTAGCATCGCCTATCCCTTTATTTCCGCACTTGAGCACTGAAAAAAGAGTGGAGGGAAGGAGTGAGCGAGCGAGTGAGTGAGAATGAGTGAGAGTGAGTGAGTTTGAGGCAGAATGAGTGGAAAGCACAAAGATGAGGGATCAGGCGCTGGTTTTGGAAGCGCAGGTACGGAAGTTTCGCACCACTTCTGAAGGGGTACATAATTCCCAACATGCTTATACGCACAGTTTTTCATCTACGTGTATGTATGCGCTCGCGAAGCATAGCCCAAAATGGCATCCCTTTACACCAGCCAGCAGAAAGTACAGCGCCCTCAACACAAAGCCGCCTGAGGCCTGAGGCCTGTCCTTGTGAGCCCTGCTGCAACTTTGGCCCAAACTTTATTTTTGCAACCTTGCCCCTGAAGATCTTTGTACATATCATCAACTCTGGTTTTTTCACTTGGTCAGCGCTCCCTTGGTTCCTGAATGGTTGTTTCCCTCTCTAAACAAAAGACTGGTGAATACTTGGGAGTGGAAAAGGCGACGGTTTGGCATCCCTGGCAAAGGCGACGGTTTGGCATCACGCTGCGAGATCAGTTGGCTGATGAGGAACTTCAGGAATTTCAGGAGCCACTCAGGCAATCAAACGCATACATGGGTCACCTTTCAGGGATCCAAGTTGTGGCTTTTCAAAAGGTGATGGTTCGGCACAAACCGTCGCCTTTTGACAGCAGGATGTGACAGGCCAAGGAAACAGAGGGAAGAGCGAAAGGAGAAAATCCGAGAAAAGGGGAGGCCGGAAGAACTTAGAACGATTGAGAAAAGGGGAGCCATTCTTAGGTTGGCTTGGTTTGGGGGGGGGAGGGTTGTGGCAAGGCGGCAGAAGGTGATGGTTTGAGGCAAACCGTCGCCTTTTCAAAATCCAGGATTAGAACCCCAAAAAGGTGACGCATTTATTCTGACTGGCGATTTGTTGGGTCAAATCATCGCCTTCCGCGGGGAAGCGAAACCGTCGCCTTTCCCAGGGATGCCAAACCGTCGCCCTTGCCAGGGATGCCAAATAGTCGCCTTTTCCACTCCCAAGTATTCACCAGTCTTTTGTTTAGAGAGGGAAACAACCATTCAGGAACTAAGGGAGCGCTGACCAAGTGAACAAACCAGAGTTGATGATATGTACAAAGATCTTCAGGGGCAAGGTTGCAAAAAGAAAGTTTGGGCCGAAGTTGCAGCAGGGCTCACAAGGACAGGCCTCAGGCCTCAGGCGGCTTTGTGTTGAGGGCGCTGTACCTTCTGCTGGCTGGTGTAAAGGGGTGCCATTTTGGGCTATGCTTCGCGAGCGCATACATACACGTAGATGAAAAACTGTGCGCGTAATGTTGGGAATTATGTACCCCTTCAGAAGTGGTGCGAAACTTCCGTACCTGCGCTTCCAAAACCAGCGCCTGATCCCTCATCTTTGTGCTTTCCACTCATTCTGCCTCAAACTCACTCACTCTCACTCATTCTCACTCACTCGCTCGCTCACTCCTTCCCTCCACTCTTTTTTCAGTGCTCAAGTGCGGAAATAAAGGGATAGGCGATGCTAAAGGCACGGGAGGTGATGCGTGATGTGGAGGAGAAGGAGTGAGAATGAGTGAGAAGGAGTGAGAACGAGGGAGAGTGAGTGAAAAGGAGTGAGCGTGACTCATGAGTGAGTCAGACTGAGTGAGCGGAAATGAGCAAGAGTGAGACGCATGAGATTGAGTGAGTAAGAATGCAAAGTAAGAATGAGTGAGTC